TCAGACAAGAAGATTTTTGAAATTTTGCATTTTTTTGAAATATGTATGTGACCTTCCTATGCAAATTACCAGAATTATTGGACAACTTCAGTGGGGACTACCAAAGGATCTTTCCTGTGAATTTATTCAAAATACTTTTTATTGTTTTCAAAGATGTTGTTTAAAGAAATTGATAAAAGTCAAAGCAAATGACAAACAACAAATAACAGAGAGAGAGGGCAATACAAGAGCTCATCATGAGTACATTGTTTGCAAGTGAACTAAAAATGAACCATACAGAACAGAAGAGAGAAACTTGCAACAAAACCAAACCTTTGAGCTTATGAATGTATAAGGTGACCATACAATGGAACAAAGGAGAGTAGAACACTACCAATAAACAGGTGAAAGGAGATACTAATCTTCTAATCCTACCTCAATTCTTTTTATGCTAACTTGGGCCTGTAGAGATGAGGCAAAGCCAGCTACTGTAAATCTTAACAAACTTTTCCTTATATGGTTGAACACACCCACAGCAATATACACCCAATCAGGGGTGATGGGCTTATCAGTTAACACAGCACATGCCAAAACTCCTAACATGCAAACATGCTCCCCACTGAAGTTTATCATCTCCTAAATATTCAATATATGAAGAAGCTTTCTTGTTGCTGACATTTCTGACCTAGAAATAGATAACAATGTTTTAACACTTAGATTATAGAAGAAGAATGCTAATATTAATGCTTTGCCTTCACCAATGGTATTCAAAGCAGCCGCCTATTCAGTAAGCTTTATAGTTTTAACAAATTAATTGTACCTCAAATGTGATAAAAAGTTGGAGCTTGTAAAGTGTTCAACTTCACTTGATTTCACTTTCTGGAACTAACCAGTACTAGTGCTATATATGAAAGCATGGTTGTGACCCCAGTAGGATTTGAACCTTAGCATCCTTGAATTGGGAGGCATACATTAGCTACATGCCAGAGGCATACATTAGCTACATGCCAGAGGCATACATTGCCAGACAATCACTAATTAATGAAACCGACATTCTATAAGTTAGCTGGATAGCTTTTTGCGCATAAAAGAATCCATGAAGAAGCACAGACTCGAACCTACGGGGAGAGCAAGAGGTTTGAAGTAAACAACATTAACCACTCAGCCACAAACGCCCCCTCAAATATGTCATTCTAAAGCAAATGTCTAAAAAAATCTTAAACATGTTAAAAAATGGTGCCAGGTGGATCTAAAGTGTTGGTTTTTTGTTCAATAAAATCTCAAAAGCTGACAGAGCAATATTTAGTTAACACTGTTCACTGATTGTTTTATATCCAAGTTCCTGTTAAGGAATATACAAGGAATTGTAAAACATTATATAACTTGTCTCACACTTTGATCTTGGAACACTGTCCTTATATAGTTTAAAGGATTTCATAATCAAAATACTTTACCTAATACCCAACTCACTGATACAATCCTCTGATCAGACTGAGCAAACATACAGACTGGCTAAAAGGACATTAAAAAGGTAATTACTGCAGCTAGCACTCTATAGGAAGGATTTTCTATATATAACATTAGAAAACACACATAAAGCACTTGTGTAATATTTTTATCTAATCTCATCAACTTTACCTTCATCCTTGTCAAGCTGACATTCACATCTATTGCTTTTTCAAAACCTCTTCGAGCAAACCGTAGCAACACAAGTCGCAATTTTTCAAACAGCCCAATACCTGTGTACAATGAGGCAACGTGGAAATGCTCCACAGTCATACTCAAAGCCAGTATTGTTATGAATATACAAAGATGTCTCCCATATATGGTCAACACCTCCTGTATTGCATTCAGACGAAAAATATGATCTCTATACCTTGTTTCTGCCCTACAATAAAAAGCCAGTTCATCACCTTAGTGCAAAAACTGATTATCTCCTATCAGATTTAGAAGGATTTAACCCATTACTGTACTAAGGTGACAAGTTGGAATTAACAGAATTGCTTATTATACTTATTTCTAATGCTAGTACCCGAAGTAACGATCATAAGCAGAAATACAGAAAATATGTAACTGTTTTAGCTCTGTTTCCACAACACAACACACAATGCACCTGTCTAATTCTTAAATTATCATATTAGTGAATACAAAAAGTAATACAGTAAGGACAGAAAACAGGCAGACACACAGGATGCATATAAATGCTTATGGTATTGTTTGCACAATTCAATGTATGCATAAGTAAGGAGTACAAACAGATATAGAGGAATATTGCTGCTTGAAAGCTGTTCTATAAAATGACATAAACACCGAATACAACCAGATATTGGAAGAAGGTTAGCGTTTTTTTCACAATAACACACAGAATGATTCATGATGTATTCAGGAATTAGCAAAGCAAAAAAACTCTTGCTTTGTGATATAGCAACACACAAAAGGACTGCAAAACTAATAGAAAATCAGAGGAACTTGTGAAGAAATATTCTTGTTTTGTTTTTACAATCCAACATACAGTTGCAAGGACTACAAATAGAAAATGACACAAGTTGCAAAGACTACAAATAGAAAATGACACAAGTTGTAAGGACTAGAAATAGGAAATGACACAAGTTGCAAAGACTACAAATAGAAAATGACACAAGTTGCAAGGACTAGAAATAGAAAATGACACAAGTTGCAAGGACTACAAATAGAAAATGACACAAGTTGCAAGGACTACAAATAGAAAATGACACAAGTTGCAAGGACTAGAAATAGAAAATGACACAAGTTGCAAGGACTAGAAATAGAAAATGACACAAGTTGCAAGGTCTAGAAATAGACACAAGTTGCAAGGACTACAAATATAAAATGACACAAGTTGCAAGGACTACAAATAGAAAATGACACAAGTTGCAAGGACTACAAATAGAAAATGGACAAGTACAGACTCACAATCCCAAAATCAGATGAAAGGACTACAAATAGATATTGGGAATGTAGTGAACTGCTCTGGCTTTTTTTCCAGCAATCCAACACACAGTTGAAAGGACTATTAATAGAAACTGGAAAACTTCAGAACTGCTCTTGCTTTGTTTCTAGCAATCCAACACACACAGATGAAAGGACTACAAATAGAAACTGGACAAATACAGAAATTGATCTAGCTTTGTTTCTAACAATCCCAAACACAGATGAATGGACTACAAATAGCAACTGGACAAGTACAGAACTTCTATAGCTTTGTTCCCACAATACCAAACACAATTGAAAGGACTACAAATAGAAACTCCCTCAATCCAACATACAACATTACAAGGACGGCAAAAAGGGAAGTATATCAAAGAATGCAAAGAGCTTATTTTGATCACAGTTACAGCTTTTACAATTTACAGTGAAATTTTCCACAATGATATGAAGCAATTAGTTGATAAATGTTTATCTGTGAGTATATATGTCACAGAAGCAAATGGCAATATTATATCAAAGACTTAATTGTGGCAATAAGGTCCATCATGTTAGTCGGCTTTCAGTTACATTAAAAAATACATTATAAGATAATTTATTATATTTTAACAGAAATGCTTTGATGTTTTAGTCATGAATGACTTAAAGAATATTTTAGATGATGAATACAATCACTTATATTTGTCTATGTTACAAGTTTGTTCAATGAGTTTTGAATATGCACTGTACATTTACAAAATGAGACAAAATGCTATCATTTTTGTTTCATAATCACAAGAACTTAATATCTTATAAATGAAAAAAACAAAACAAATCTGATTACAAATCTGATGTATAAATTTATTATTGATACAAATTGATTAAATAACAAAATTAAATTGACAAAATACAAACACATTTTTATTATGTGTGGGGTATTCAACAGGTTATTAGACTGGGCTGATTAATGTAGAAATCAACAAGGGTGACACTGCCACAAAATATATACACCTGTCACATGTTAAGCTTTAGGTGGAGATGTAGGCAATAAGAAGTGTGGCGAGCAAGTTGGTCCCTATACAATTTTAATTATTCTAATGTGATATTTTACCTCTATGTGTGACATTGACTTTCATTGCATGGAACTGAATTTTGCCTTCAACACTCTGCCTCACAATGGATGATATTTGTGCAAAGTTGTACTAAAATCCTCCTATAAGAGTATAAGATTTGCTCCAGACTAGCTCTAAGTTTGACCTTGACCTTTAACCTAAAGACCTGGATCATGTATGGAATAATACATCTCATGGTGGTGATCATTTCTATAAAGTATTATAAAAATTCTTCTATGCATGTAGGAGATATGCTTCAGACAAAATCTGGATATTTCATCCTCTTTAGTGACCTTGACCTTACACAAATTGACCTAAGTTACATGTGTCTTAGCCATAGTCATGATAATGAACATTTGTGTTACAATCCTTTAATAAATGATTACTAAATGGTCCCTTTACATATCTTCATATATTACGTGAACTTTGACCTCTATGTGTGACCTTGACCTTGGTTGCAATGACCTTAATTAAGGGCGCCCCACTTTGCTTCACAATGGTCAGGACAACATTTTATCATCTTTAGTGACCTTGACCTTGCATATATTAATCTAAATTTCATGTTTCACACCAGTATAGTCATGACTAAATGGTCATATCTTTATCTGAACTTTGATCCCTATGTGTGACCTTGACCTTGGCCGCAGGGACCTAAATTTTGCATATCTTGGAATATCTTGGTTTCACTTTAAATCAAATCTGCAATATTTTCAAACTTAAAGAGGTTAAATTTTGTGTAATGTCAAACATCCAACTTTTATATTGTTACTGTAGAGAACAACACATCACAACACAAAAACAGAATGTTAGACTGGAAACAGATCAATCCTAATATCCTGCCAATTAGCACTTTGTGCTCAGCTGCTAGATGTTCTAATAAAGGAAAATATAAAAAGTGTTTTACAATACTGAAAGATGTTTGCATCTGCAATGTAATTCTATTAGTATGCTTATCACACAAGTTACTATCAACCTTTTCCTTACCTGAAGCCTTTTTACACACATAATTAGCTCAGATATCATTTTAACTCCTTGTTGCAGAAACCAAAAGAACACGTTCTCCAAAGCGACAAATAAGACCAGCGTAACAAATACTTTTTCAGCTCTAAGTGCCTTGCCAATCACAGTTAAACAAACGACTGTAGCATACACACAGAAATAACGGCCACTATAAATATAGCTATCTAAAACTGCCTCTGTTATCATTTTTCGTTCCACATGTTTCACCTCCAGGCTGGGGACAAAGAAATATAATAGTAATTATAAAACCAGTTGTAACTCAAATGACTTATAGAAGGAGTTACATCTATTTTGCACTCAAAATTTATATCTGTTTTATGGTTTTCTGGCATTAAAAAAAGTATACCTTCACAACATGTAATTTTACTTAAGCAATTGTTATTTGCACTAATTATAAACAGTGAAGAACTAATATTATTGTGCAAACAAGCTTTTTAATTTGTGTTTACAACATTACTAATAAGAAGTGAACAAATTATTGAAAGCAGAAGCTTAAACAATTAAAAAGTTTCTTATGAACATTACCGGTCTTTGCTCACATGACTTGGCAGAAATGAAAGACAGCTTACAGACAGATAGATAGCTTTTGGTAATACACAAGTCCCAAGAAAAGTTTGTGCCGAGTCAATGGATACTAAATCGAAAAAATGACCAAGCACTCTTGTACTGAAATCTACAGTACTGTTAACTCTTGACAGAAATCATATATTTGTGCCTGCATATTAATGTTAATAGACAATTAGTGCATTACAATAAAAGCAAAATACTATCAAAAATTTCATATTGAAGCATAAGCAAGCCACTGAGTGAATAAAAATTATAAAGTAACAGTAAGTATTTTTCATATGATTTTAAGAACTTGTTTCTGAAAAATTTTTCAATGAAGACCAAAATGGTATAAAAGTACAAATCCCTTTGACATTTCATTTGACATTTGACCTCTAAATGTGACTATGACCAAGTGGAGAATACATTGTATAAGGTATAATACCATAATTGTAAATCCTTAAACAAATGACGAGACTGATTGTCTTAACAAATATATTTTCACAGATAAAAAGCAAATAAACAAAAGTCAAAAAATAATGATCCCAAAAAATATACTTTTTCAACTGGGAATTATTTCAACAAATTATGTGAAGCTTGTGGACTACTATGAGCTATTGTAGCTCTCGGTCCAATTAATTTCTGCTTAAATCATGAATTATTAACATGTATAATTATATAATTATACCTTGAATAAAAATATGTTTAAACCACTAAGGTTGTGGACAATCTTTCAATAAAAATCACATCTTTATATTGGCATGCTGCAACAACACTTAAATATTATGGTATCACAATTTATTTGCAAACAAATATAATATACGACAACAATTGAAACAAATGAATAACATACACCAATTCCTAACAGTCAAGAATGAAAGAAACAATTGAAACCAGGATACATTTTGATGAAGAAACAAAACAATGCCAGCCCAAATTATAATTATTCCAAAAATCTGGGTAGTTCATGCAACTATGAAGAAAAAGGAGGAATAGAAAATACAAGCATAGACATTTAAAAAAATGCATATTCTACCTACCTATCTTACAGTTAAACCTACCTATCTGTCTATAATCTTATACTACTATAATTATCAGAACAAATAATTTCCATACAGTATGTTTATGGTATATTTTAGACATCCAAAATTATACATGCAACTAAAAATGTGTCCATTGGCCACCAGTAGTGCCAGTTAATTTAACTTTCAGTGACACAAATACATAGAATATTTCAATAGGCCAAATGTTATCTTAAAAAGAAATACTTATATAACAAGAGCACTGCAAAGGCGGAGTAATATAGACCTGTATGTATAAATTTGTTTGAGTAATCAAAAATAATTTTACAGTTAGGGATGAGACCTAATCAAGAAACTTGTCTGAAAAACGTTCAATAGTTGTTGAATTAAAAGCAAGCTCTTTGGTATAAATCTGATTACATAATGTATTTAAAATGATTTTTTTTCTCTCTCTGATTTTTCATGTGGATTAGGTTGGATAGTTGATCTCATGTGGATGTTTATATGACATAGACATATAGATATTGCATAAGCTCATGTCTACATTATACAGTCTTTGAGTATCTACAGATGTTGTAATTTACAATTACTGTAGTGCCATGGTGCCCTTCTATTGTTTACAAACAAAATGAGGATTTGTGACATGTAGAGAGATGGCACAAACAAAATGAGGATTTATGACCTGTAGAGAGATGGCACAAACAAAATTAGGATTTCTGACCTGTATAGAGATGGCACAAACAAAATGAGGAATTGTGACCTGTGTGGAAAAGATGGCACAAACAAAATGAGAATTTGTGACCTGTAGGGTGATGGCACAAACAAAATGAGAATTTGTGACCTGTAGAGAGATGGCACAAACAAAATGAGGATTTGTGACCTTGTAGACAGATGGCACAACCAAAAATGAAGATGCTGAACTAATGACAAAAGCCAGAAACTGATCACTTCTAATGGCTTGACTTTAAGCACTTCATGCTCAACTAGGTAAGCATCATATACTTCTGTACTGCTATATGTATGCTATCACCTCTTTTGTTTGTTCAAGTCATTTTCAACCTTTGCCTTACCTGAATCCTTTTTACAGACACAACTAGTTCAGATATCAATTTTATTCCTTGCTGAAGAAACCAAAAGAACACATTCTCCACTGCGACGAATAAGACCAGGGTTACAAAAAGTTTTTCAGCTCTGAACACCTCGCCAATTAAAGTAAAACAAATGACTGTAGCATAAACACAGAAATAACGGCCACTAAAATTAAAGCTATCCAAAATTGCTTCGAATATCATTTTTTGCTCCACATGTTTCATCTCCACCCTGGGGACAAAGAAACGTAAAAGAAATTATAACTAGTGTTTATGTATCCCAATTTTTTACACGATTGTATCCAGATAAAACATGGTCTAAGATTGCTCACCCATGATCAATTGCCAGGAATAATTATAATTCTTCAATGCAGATTGGGTCATTCTTTACCCTGGGAGGCAGCAAGATTTATAAAACTTTTATACAGGTTAATTAGCAAATTAAACTGCCAAATATCTAAGCTCCAGGTATTAAAGTTTCATACATAATTAATAGCTTTTTAAGATTTTTAGGGTTTTTGTTGTTGTTTTTTTCTTCTTTTGGTGTGTTGGGTGGGGGTAGGGGATTTAATATAAGCCTAAATTAAGTTAGTAAACCCTGATGAAATATTGAATAGAGAGAGCATCATAATGTGTTTGGAGGAGAGGATTCTTATATGAAGACATGTTTTTTATGTACGTAACTTTGCAGTCTCTGAAAACTAATTGACCCCACGGCAGAGCCATTTATGACCCTAGGGGCAAGATTTATTTATAACTTCTGTAGAGGTGCACTAGAAAATTTAGGCTACATGCTATTGTCTAAGCACCCAAATTATTTAGTAAAACTATTCTTTGTGATAAAACATCACATACAAATTACACACAGTAGAGCCTGCATGGTATACCTATAATAAAACATTGTAATTTGTAATTTCCATTATATACAGAAAGTGAAAAACTAAATGGAGAAAAGTTTAAAAATCTTTTGTTTTGTGTTCATAGCATTATTTATCATTCATAACAATTTATGGGAAGCAAAAGCTGAGGTTTCACCTAACAAATCAGAACTCTTGCACCCGCTCTATATAAACCAGGCACAAAGAGAGTACATGTACATTTAAAGCGCAAAAGAAGAACAGATGAAGCTTCAGTCTGCAAAATCAACATTATTCAAGATTCTGCTTTTTGTGTACATGTAGTTCATAATTGTGACAATTTAATATATTAAAACTACATTAGCATGTTTGAAGCTCTGACTAAGATATTCAAATTAGATTTTAAAGATACTTCATATATCGAAGCATCTTCAAATACAATGAAGAATGCTTAAAGCCCTTACATAGTAACCAATGGGAAGTTCCAATCAGGCATCATGCAGTAATGGGAAGTTCCAATCAGGCATCATGCAGTAGGTACCTATGACGCACCACATTTCAAGTATATCTGAAGAAAAGTACACCTGAAGTATCTTTAATACACTTCAATAGTAGCTTTGAAGCATCATATTTAGTTACCCAAACCTTTACAACATCAAATGGCAGTTGAAACCCTCAAACATATAACTAGGCCAGTCCATGAAAGAAATTACATAGTTATGAATTGAGCTGAATTGAATATATATTTCAAGGCCAAAAGTGACCAAGTCAAGCTCACCAAAAGTGGGCTCCACAAAAATGAATGGAAATGTGGCAAAATGTAAATTTATTTTGACTTTCATCCGTCCACTCACTATAAATTCCTGTTAGATGGGCACAACGTCACTTTAATGTTGATAAACAAATAGTGCCATATGATATAATCACAATACTGTACCCAAACAATCATGCATATCTAAACATAATTATGTCTTTTGAGTAAAAATAATGTTAAAAAAAGCCTCTTTCCAAAATTTTCAAAAATGTTTTTTTTTTCATTTTTAACATTATGAACAAAATGGTGTGACTATGCAAATCCCTTTGACATTTCTTCTGACCTCTAATGTGAAGATGACCTTGACCCTTTGTAAAATGAAAAAACAGACTTTCAGTTTATAATAAATAATAGATTAATGCACTCAGCAAACCACATTCAAAACATATAAACAAGCCAATCAATCTTAAATAAATAAAATTTATGGCAAATGATCCCATGTATAACTAGTATAACTATTTACACAAACATTACAATCATATGAGCCGTGTCACGACAAAACCAACATAATGGGTTTGCGACCAGCATGGATCCAGACCAGACTACGCATCTGCGCAGTCTGATCAGGATCCTTGCTGTTCGCTATCAGTTTCTCTACTTGTTATAGGATTTGTTAGCGAAAAGCATGGATCCTGATCAGACTGCGGGCATGCGCAGCCTGGCCTGGATTCATGCTGGTCGCAAACGCATCATGTTGGTTTTGTCGTGACACAGCTCATATACAGATTGAAAACCTTTCAGCAGCAGTTTTGATTTTCACATAAAAAATGTTTGGCTTTTTTTTTACAATTTTCCCCAAAAGTTCCCTGATATTTTCAAAATTTTCAAATTCCTTGACACTAATCCTTGCAGGGATTTTTTAAGCCCATTTTCCCTCTTTTCCCTTT